GACCCCTGCAGAACCCCCCATTTAAGCTCTGCTGCTGCAGAACTAAACTCCTTGACGGAGACACAAAAGGATCTGTCAGTGAGGTAAGATCTGAACCAATTGAGGGCTGACCCTGTGATGCCCACCCACTTGGTACACTCTGGTCTTGGGCTTGACTTGGTTTTAGATTAGGTGGTCTTAACTACAACACTGCTTGACTGTAAACACCTGGTTCCTGTGTATGATTCTACATTTTCTTCTTCATCTTCATTTCAGGGGCCCTATCAAGACATCCTTGAATTCATGATGGCTAGTCGAGACGAGTGTAAAAACTTCTGGAAGATCTGTGTTGAATACCACTCGTTTTTCCGCTTGTTTGATCAGCCTCACCCCAAATCCAAAGCAATCCTTTTTACTCGAGGCTCCTCCTTCAGATACAGGTATGACCTCATGTCACAATCAATGAGATTTGTCTTCACTTATGTTTTTAAGTAATTTTTTTTACCATTAAATGGGAAAATCATTTGCAACAAAGGTTCATAATTTAACGCTCTCTCTGTCAGTGGACGGACACAGAAGCAGCTTGTTGAATATGTCAGAGAAAATGGAGCAAAGAGGACGCCTTACCAGAGGTGTGTGTTTAGTGTGTGTGTACACTGGAAATGTGACAAATCATGTGATTTCTGTAAAAGTCATTAATTATTTTAACATGGTTTGTTTTTGTTCAGGAGGAACAGTAAAGTCAGAATGTCTGCTCGCTCCTTCACAACCGATCTGCCAAAACAGGTGAATACATAAATGTCTTTTTTTCTTAATGTAAAGCAAAAGCTTTTCTCAAATTGTACCAGAATTTATGCTTTTTTCCCCTCTGTTTAAATGTTATTGTCTCCCCCCCCCCCCTTTCAGAGTTTGATATTCAGTGACTGTCCCCGGGACCTGAGCTTCTCGTCCTCCATCGCTGAATCCTTCCAACCAGTCCACATGTCAAAGATTCTTCCTCGGACTGAACTTCCACCTCAGCCCCAACCTTTGTCCCCACTGAGCCAGTCTCCAGCACCTCCTCAGCAGCAACAGCAGCCCCCTCTGCAAACCACTAGACCCCCCAGCCCTCCGAAGGAAGATCCCGTTAAGGCCGCTTCCACGTCGCACTTCTCGTTTCAAGGTGCTTCTAGCAGTGAGGCCGCAGGACACTGCAGCCCCGTGTTTGCCTACTCATTTAGACATGACAATAAAATAGATCCGTTTGGTTTTGTGGAGTGAGCTGACAGTAAAAATGGGACGTTTAGTGTTGGGATTGAGGACCTGAATGGAAACCCCAACGCCTTCCCTTACAGCGTGGCCGGTCACTCGGAGACGAGCTCCCTGGTTAATAACCGCTCCGAGTGCAGCTCCTTGGATAATCTGGGGCTCAGTTCTGCAGCGCTGTTTATTTAGAGTTTATTTTTGTGGCATTCTTCAGTGCCTCATCTGTCAGTTTGTTTTCTTATCTACAGCACAGGCTGGTGCAAAAATGGAAAGCCAACTTTCAGAATATTTATGGAGCATATCAGACAAATGAAATGGAAAGTTTTATATATTTTATACGTATATTAAGCATTTTTTAAAACCAACAATGTGCCAGTGTCTTACAGTATTGACATGTTTATTGTTAAAGTTAAAAGCTCTTTAAAAGGGACTTCTCTATCCATCATTTATGATAATTAATATTTGGCATTATAGTTTCATATAAACCTCCATGTAGTAAAGGAAACTTGTAAGTAATGTTTTATGATGATTATTATTGACAACAGTACTTTTATCCTAAAGTTATGAACCTTAATTTAACCAGATAAATCCTATTCAGAGGCCTGGGACCTGAAGGCCGTGTAACGTGCATGTTTTTGGTCTCTGGGAGGAAACCCACGAGGAGAACAGACAAACTCCACCCAGAAAGACCCCCCCAGTCCCAGGACCCAGGACCCAGGACCTTCTAACCACTTAGGCGTTGTGCTGCCTAAAAATATCTCCACTAAATTACCTAACTGGTGGATAGCTGATTTTATTATTACATATAATTATGTTTTCCTTTATTGTTTTTGT